CTTGGTGCGCGCGTGTGTGTGTGTGTGTGTGTGTGTGTGTGTGTGTGTTTGTGTGTGTGTTTGTGTGTGTGTGCGTGTGTGTGTGTGAATGAACTGCAGAGAGGTAATTTGCCATGAAGGTCAGATGCCTAGAGAGCTGTGATGGAAATCGTTCTTCTAATTTATGATTTGTGGATTTTTCTGCTTTCATTCTGCCGGAGTTCGTAAGCCAAAGTTTTCATTTCATTTTCTGGGCTGGTGTTACTTTCTCTTCTCCTCTGGTCTCCTTTTCTTCTGTGTCGTGTTGTGTACATGCCTATAGTGGGGTAAAGTGTTTGATTCATATGAATTTGACTCCCACAGTAGCAAGCGAGGTAGAGCGTACCCACCTAACTAGCAGGTGAGATAGCTGAAGTGCAAAGAGGTTAAATGCATGTACCACGAACAAAGGGCTCTTAAGTACGGAAGCCTAGACGGAAACCTCGATTCCAATAACACATTTCCGAACCCAGGTCTCCAGCGACCACAGTCCACATAGTCCACGTACAACTTCAGCTTGATTTAGCAGACTCCCGTCTGTTCTTGGCAGTGACTGCAACTTAGAAATCAGGTCCTGGTACATAGCTGACCTTTTGTAATTTAGATAATTAATGACTTCAAAGTGTTGTAAATAAAAGCACTCAAGCATTTCAACAAAGTTGCAAAATGTCCTAGTGTAAGTTTGATGGAATGAAATTCTTTTAATAAAGCGAAAAGAATTGGGTCGCTTTGTTAGAAAAATGGAATCATTAGTGCTTCTACACACTTTGTAGACAACGTTTTATGTTTTACTTGAAGATTTGTGCCACAGGGCACATGTGCTTGCCAGAGAGAGACAGACAGTGAGATTCCGGGAAAGTGAGAAGTTGTCCCCCGGTGGGGTGGCCACACCACAGTCCCCTCTGCCTTCTCCTCCTGGGATCCTGGGCACACAAGTGCTCAGATGATTTCAAGTTTCCTGGTCCAGGACTCAAACCACAGTCAGCCTTGTGGAATTCCAGTACCTTAACCACCACAGCATCTGCCGGCCCCACGCAGATGGCTTCTTAAGAAGGCACAGTGGTTGAAAGCTTCGTATCGCTTCTCTGAATAATCCTCATTTCTCTACCCAGAGGTTATGAAGTACTTAGCGGGAAGGAGGTTCATTTGAGAGGGCTGTTCATTCTCAGGCACTGCCTCGGTGGCACTTTGCCCTACTCGACTGCGACCAAGGGTTCAACCTCCTCGTCAGCTCCATGGAAAGGCTTGCCCTTCTAAGGAGGGTGGGTGGGTGCTAGGTCCACCTCTGCGCCTCCCCCAGCCAGGACGCCTTGGAGAGAGCTGTCTCCCTGCAGCTCGCTTTTTTAAAAGTATAGAAACTTCTATATGGAATGTCGTATTGGACACTCTGTTGTACCTGTGTCACCTTCACACCAGTAATCATTTATGGTTTTAGTTACAACCTTTCACTCATTACTTCCATGTGTGTGCTGATCGTCCAACCACAAACACCTCTGATACGGTATTTATGTATTTATCTGTACATTCAGAAGTGTATGTGCTTATGCATATATGTATGTAACTACATACTTACAAGCACTTAGATAGACACACATGCACACGCACACACACACACACACACAGTACAAAGGCAGATAGATTTGTCTGGAAAAGGAAGTCTTCATGGGTAATTATACTCGTGTACCATCTATACAGAAATTTACTTCAAACATTTCTAAGCGTTCACCTGGAGGATACTATGATAACAATACCCAGTCTTTAATTTTACAAAGATTCATTGAATGGCTAGATTATCTTTATTTTTCTTTATCTAATTTTTAATTTAATAATCATGATGAAATTTAAAAAGTACGTGGACTTCAGAAAGTCCCTTTTTACCTCTTTTCTCCATTCCAGAGCTTCTCCAGAATATCAGTGTTTTCTTTTTGAAATGTATGCTTTAGCTGTTTTTTAAAAAAATGTGTTTATATATTGCCTGTATATAGTTCCATGGACTAGTAGCTTTGTCTAAGTGTGTGTGTATTTTTTATAGCAGTGCTCTTTTTCTGTTTTATTTTGTAATTTCGTATTTACACTCAGTTCCTGTCCTTCTTTGTGGGGCACACCACACAGGTTTTCAGAGCACACATGCGTACAGAAGGTGACAGTGGGCATGTATTTCTGCAACTTTTCTTGTGAGTTCCGTGTCCTGCAGGCTGGCTACACCAGGGCACACATATGTACTTATGGTATTAATTTTAAAAGCTGCACATTACCCAGTAGACTTAGAATAGAACCGGCAGCCCTTACCTGAGGGGTGCATGGAAGTTGCCAGCTCCCTTCATCCGGCTCCTCACTGTGTGTCCTGTCTCTGGAGCAGGCTGAGGTCAGTCTCGCCTCCGTCTGCGTGAATGCTGGCTCTGCTCCTTGGGGTCTCTTCTCCCTTCTGTTTTCCTCTTGGGGTTGTGGGCATGCACGCATACATACCGACACCCATTGTGTTTCTCCAGCCACTGGGTCCGCCAATATAATTGTAGAGTCGGCCGTGTGAAATCAGCCCCCTTGATGGAAGGGAAGAATGGGGGGGGGAGCAAAACATTTAATGGACACAAAACCAGAAAATTATCTGTTGATGATAATGTGTATGGTAATATCTTTGAATGGACTGATAGAAATGTATTCATGTTGGGCAGATTCATTCTGTATGCTATAAAGATGTAGAGTGTAAAAAATAATAATAAATAGAATTAAATTTTTAAAATGACAGAAATCAGCCCCCTTAACCACTGTGCCACTTGCTAGTCCCTACACATTCCATTTATTTAAAAAAGATTTTTGCCATAGGGTGAGTGTGCTCACCAGAGAGACAGAGACAGAAGGAAAGTGAGAAATCATCCCCCAGGGGGATGTCCCCGCCACAATCTCTTCTCCTCTATTCTTCTCCTGGGATTCTGGACACACATGCACACACACCCAGCATGATTTTCAAACCACCACATCTGGGACTCAAACCACAGTTAGCCATGTTGGAATCCAGTGCCTTAACCACCATGCCACTTGCTGGGTCCACAGTTCAAATTTCACTAGAGAAGAAACAATAGCTCTGCAAGAAGCTGGTACCAGTTTACAACCTCCAGTATGGCGATACCTACCTCTTCACGTCTCTGCCAACACTGTATGTGCAATAACCTCTTCAAGTTTCTCTTTTTCTTATGTAAGAGAGACTGAGACAGATGTAGAGAGACTCGGACACCCTCCACAGGGTCTGCACATGACAGTCTCCCCTGAGCTTCCGCCAGCCCTGGAGTACGGCATGCTGTGCTCAGGGCCACCTGTGGGCATGGCCTCAGGGCCTGCCCATGTCGATGAGACCCCAGGTCTTGTGTCTCTGCTGCACCACTGCCAGCCCCGAGGAGGAGCTAGGTAATCTGTGTCTATCTGTTGGGAAAAACTGAAGTGGCTTTTTTTTTTTTTTTTTCAAAAGAAAAAGCGAAAGTATGATGAGTAGGCGACTCTCAGTCTCCGCCTTGGAAGTTACTTTAAATGTTCCATCACTCTTCGTGATTTGTAAGCCGACTTGATGGAAAAGCCCAGGACGTGGCTGAGTCATAGAGGAGATGGCATCCTTCTCTTGTGTCTAGTTTTGGCTTTCGCCAGTACATATATAAAAAAACAGTTGGTTTTTGTTTTTCCAAGAAGGGGAATATTTTCCATCTCTTCTATTGTTTTGGAACTTTTTAATGTTTCTGATTTATTTTGTTGCAATTCTGATATGTCTTCCTAGATGTATTGTAATTACTTACTGTTTATCTAGGTTTTCACATTTATTATATAGAGCTTTTCATGGTGTCCTATCTGGCTTTAAAGAGAGATTTTTGCTATAGAGCATGTGCACTTGCTGGAGAGACAGAGACAGAGAGATAGAAAGTGAGAAATCACCCCCCAGGGGGGATAGTTGTTCTGCAATTCCTTCTCCTCCATTCTCCTCTTAGGTTTTGGGTATGCGTGCACATGCGCCCGCCATGAGTTTTAAGCCACTGGGTCCGGGACTCGAACTATGGTCAGCCATGTGTAAGTCCAGTGATGTAACCACTACACCATCTGCCAGTTCCATATCATTTTATTAAATACATCCCTTCTTTATTTTTAATAACGTCCCCGTTTTTTACTCCTTATTTGTATCTCCTCCCCCCCTTGCTTTTTCCAGTTTGCCTTGCCAAAACATCTGGGTTTCATGTAAATAGTCCTATTTTTAAGTGTTGGCGAATAATTGGATAAAAAGCAATATTGGCTTGACCAGGCAAGGACACTGCACTGGCCAGATCTGAACTGATTACGAGTGAGAACTGCTCCCTTTCTAGTCTTCTAGTGAGAAACGTTCATTTTTAACTGATGTTACACTTGAATTTCACTTTCGTTGATAAAATATCCAGTAGTTAGACTCTTCCTCGAAGAGCTAGACTCTTAGGGCACCTAAGTTTCCTTTTTATTTCCTTTCCTTGACCTTTTTCATGTTGCTTGCACCCACGATTTAAACTCTAAATTGTGACTGCAGTTCTTAAAAATGACAGTGCCCACTTATTTGCATGTACCCATGTATTTTACTGTTTTCTTTGGTCACTACTAAGCCTATGCTTGCTCTTCTTGTTATACTCACGTTTCATTGTATTTAGTGTTTCCTATGGCGATTCTTGTAAATAATGTCTGAGTGATAAGCTTAGAAGTTCACGTACTTGAAAATGTCTTCTTCTTTTAAATATGCCTTATAGCTCTGATGTATAAAAACGTAAGTTTAAAGTACTGTATTTCATAACTTAAAAGACACAGTTCTGGGCCAGCACATGGCATGGTAACTGAGGTGTTGGATCTTACATAACCGCTTCCATGGTTTGAGTTCCAGACCAGCAGCTGGAAAAACACACTGGGTGTGTGAGCATGCGTGGCCGAAATCCTGAGAGGAGAGTGAAGGACACAGGGTCGTGGCATGGCCAACCTGCCTGGGGGGTGACTTCCCACTTTGCCTCTCCCTGTCTCTCTTAATCTGGTGAGTGCATGTACCTTGTGGCAAAAACCTAAACTGAAAATAGAAAAAAGATACCAGTTCTGCTTTCCTCTTGTATCAGATATTATGGAAAATTAATTCTGGTATTAACCTGTGTCTGCTTATTTCTGGTCGTGAAGGCTAATTCTTTTCATTTAGGGTTGAGAAGTGTTCTGATATAATTTATGGAAGCATTTCCTCCATCTGCTGCGTTCGTTTCCTGTTCCAAGAACTATTATTGCATAAATGCTTAAATATGTGAGTGCGTATTGTGTATACCCTCAAGGTGTTCATGCTTTCTTCCACGCCCTGCCTCCCCTTCCTCGTGGCCTGTGGTGCACACACACCCGAGCTCCTGGGCAGCCTCTGGGACCCAGCTTTCAGCCTGCTCTCCTCCCAAACCCTGTAACCCTCTGGAAGCTCTTTGCCTTTTTTTTTTTTTTTTTTTTTAAAGGCTTATGTATTATGGTATTGAAATATTTCTCATCATTCCTTGTTCACTCAGGTCATCCTTCGTTTTTCACACATCTCATGTATTCCTTTGCTTCCTAATACATTCCCGTCATTTGTGTAGGTTTGGAGTGGAGCGGGAGACCACTGACTTCCTGTTCTGTTGTCACGGTCCCTGGTCTGTCTTGGGTTAGGTTGCTGTAGAGCGGGTACACTCGCGGGAGGGACAGAGACAGACAGACGGAACTTCTGTAAGAACTTCACTGTCATAAACATAATTACACATTAGAGATAGGGAGATTGAAGACTCTTTACTGAAATTAAGAGAAAATCTTCATTATTTCTCCTTCTTCATTTACTTGTGAACCTTCCCAGTCACGAAAGTTTTCACACCTTTTAACCTTCAAAGGCTGTAAGCAATTTGATCTTAAAATTGCTGTAGAAGAGGGACCAGCAGATGGTATGGTGGCTAAGGCGCTGGACTCCCACATGGCCCACTGAGGTTCGAGTCTTGAACTTGGCAGCTTGCTTTCTCTCTCTTTCTCTCTCTGGCCAAATTAAAATGATGATGATGAATGAAATAAAGTAAAATAATTATTTGAAAAAGTTTCTACAGAGAGTATTTTGCTAGACTGAAATTATGCATTTAAGTTAATTTCCATTTTCTTAGGAGATGATTTCACAGAACCCAAAATGTACTCCCGGAAAAGCTCTCTCTTCTGAATCTTCTTTAGAATTCCAAGGCGTGGGTACTTTTTGAGAAACTAGGTCTTGCGGAGGAACACATGGCGTCTCACGAGCAGCAGAGGTAGGAGGGTCCCGGCGGTGTCGGCCGTGGGGCTGGAGCCGCAGGCTTTCGGCCACTCGGTGGAAGTCAGTGGAAGCTGGGATAAGTCCTTGGCTTGATCTTGTCGCAGCTGGCTGAGCGATACCCACTGACTTACACAGCGGCTGTGGGTGCGGTGTCGTAAGGCATTAGGAGCACAATACATCACAGAGACTCCCCGCAGCCGGTTTTCTGGGATGAGAAGTAATGTTTCACTCAGCCAGTTGCTTGTTGCAATTCCAACAGACGTGAGGCCATTTGATTTTTATTTCCCTTTTTACCTCTCTCTCCAAGTTCTCCGAAATGAGATTTACAGTGACTTCAGTTATGGTAAGGGATCATAAATTTCAGCAGCCCTGAGAGGGGCAGGATAGTCAAGGATACCTGGCTATCAATGTAGGTTTTCAGTGTAAGAAAAATAAAACCGAATTATGAATTTTAGAGCGCCAGTCATGAAACGCAGCGCATTTCTCTGCTCTAAGTTTACGTTACCGGCGTCCAGTGTGTCCCGACTGTGGCTTCGACCCTGCAGCTACCATTTCTTTCTTTTTTTTTGGAGAGGTTTTTGCTATAGGGCGCATGCGCTCGCCAGACAGAGAGAGAGAGAGAGAGAGAGAGAGAGAGAGAGAGAGAGACAGAAAGCGAGAAATCACCCCCCCCCAGGGGGGATGGCCATGCCGCAGTCCCTTCTCCTCCATTCTCCTCTCGGGATCTTGGGCACGCACACATGCGCCTGGCGTGAGTTTAAGCCACCGGGTCCGGGACTCGAACCGCAGTCGACTACGTGGGAGTTCAGCGACATAGCCATTACGCCAACTGCTGGCCATTTCTTACATTTTATAATATTTGATGGATGCGAAGAGAACGAGATGATGGTAAACTGCTTCTTAGTAGTGAGCATATTCAATGTGTGGTGAAGATAAAGTGACCCTAGAAAACTTTTAGTGCCTCCAGAGGCAGTGTTTGGTTATTTCTTAAGCATGGATAATAAGTATTTAATAGTGTTAGGATGCATGTGATTTAGAGAAACAGGAAAAGCGAGCAGGACTGTAACTACAGAAGCCCGGCCCCACACACCTGAATACAGGTAGAACGCCTACCCTGGCAACCAGGGGCATGCGAGTGCATGCCGCAGAGCCCAACAGGATGGGGACATGGGGAAAGGGGATCGCAGCTGACCACCCCCCACCGGGAGTGCCTTCTCCCTCCACCTGCCTCGCTCTGGCAAGCGCATGCACCCTTTGGCAATTAAAAAGTAAACAAAAATAAAGAGGAAAAGCTAATATGGTAAAACTGCTGTTTTCGAACTTCAAGAATAAGCTGCTGCTACTTTATGTTTCTACAGCTGTAAGGTTTTTAGGGCATTTCTGTGTAAGTTTTATTTTTCCTAACAGCTTATAACGTCACTGGGAAGGGTTTTCCTTTTGCTTCCCTCCTGTAGGAGCAATTCTAGCACTGTGCACAGTGCAGGTGAAGCCAGTGCTTGGTCGCTTCAGAGGCATTGCCTACCCTGGACGCATGGGCGTGCCTTCCTTTGAGTTGGAAATGGACTGACCCAAATCCATGCATTCCACAGATTTATGCCATAATGAGTCTTGTTATGGAATCAGGAGAATTGGGCTTGTTTAGTTATTCTTTTTTTTATGGTGTAGCTTCAGTGGTTCAGAGCAGTTTGGAAAAGGACATTCACAATTATGAAAAGTTTTAACTTCATAAAAAGTTTCAAGGAAATAAATAGGCTTTTGTGGCCCAGCTGGTGGCATGGTAGTTATGACAATTTGATCGCATATGGCCTACCGTGTGGTTTGAGTCCCTGACCCGGCGACTTGAAAAACGTGCTGGGTGTGTGTGTGCGTGCGTGCCCAGAATTCTGATAGCGGAGTGAGGAGTAGAGATTGTGGTGTGGCCACCCCTTCGAGGGGGTGATTTCTCACTTTCTCTCTCTCTATCCTCTTCTCTCTCTCTCCAGAGAGTATATGTGCCCTGTAGGAAACTAAAAAAAGGACATATGCTTTTGTAACATTGATGTATGTGTGATATAATATAAACTAGACCCTGTCAGGCCTGTGCCGACGAATGCATAGTTATGGGAACAAGATGTGCACACGCGTGGTCAGTGTGGGGCCCCAGGTCACGTGTGCAGTTCAGGAGCACCAGGTGGGAAGAAATCCCTGACCTGACGAAGATCACAGTCTGATTTCTATTCAGCGATGAGTTTGTTGCAGTGAATCTGAATGGATTTTGTGATTATTTATTTTCTCAGCACGCCTTACTAGCCATCTAAAACCGGGTCTTTGCCAACTAGGAGAACCCAGTCAGTTGTTTCCTTATCAAAGAAGCAAGAGAGGGAGAACAGAGGCTTCTGTGATTACAAGAAAATTGAACACACACACAGACACGCACACAGACACACACACACACACACGAGGGAGAAGGCTTCTCAAAGTTTGTGGAAAAAAGTGTTATGAAAAAACCATGCATGGATTTCACAATTTTTTGCACCAAAATAAACTTGTATTTTAATTTGATTTTTTTTTTCCAGAAAATGTTTGCAGTACCTTCATAGATGCAAAGATTTCTTTTCATGGAAAACCGACCCTGCAGAGTTTTGGCAAAGTGCTGTTAGCCTGGCGACACTAACTCCATGGCAGCAGGGCCCTCCAGACAAGCTCCGGGGTCAGCTCCGGAGTGGGCCAGGGGCTGGCGCCACGTCGATGGCACAGGGTGCTCAGAGGCAGCCGTGGGTCCTTTCCTGAAGGGAGTCTAGTTTGCAGCCTGAGTGCCCTTGTCTAGAACCAGTGCAGTGGAGCTTGAACTGACTGTGTTACTGATCCGAGACCTCGGGGGAGGATAATGTGGAAGGGAGTGAGGCCAGGCTGGGGCTCAGAGGGACCTGGGTTCCCAGCCCAGTGGCTATAGTTCAATGTGAGGAATCTGCCTGAGCCACTCTGTCGCCATAGCAACACAGGGACCACTTGTGCAGATCTTGGCCGGCTCTGCCAATCAGCTCCAGCTCTGAGCCGTCCAACTCATTACGAGGAAGCCAGATGCCGCGTACTCGGATGCACACTCCAAGCACGCGTGTGCCGAGCAGGGGAGCCGTCCTCTGAAAGCCATCTTCCTCTCAGTAGTACATGTGCTTAATGATTTCAGAAGAGTTCTTTCACTTTGTGTCAAAGTACAGTTCATTCAGCCGATTTTGACTCACACTGCTAACTCATTGATAAGAAATTTTTCTTTTTTTGCCATTTTGGGTATCACACTCAGTGTGTTGTATTTTTGTTGGCAGTGCACTGACACATGAGTGTGTGTGTGTGTGTGTGGTGTCGTCTGTGTATTGTGTATGTGCTCTCCAGTGGATTCTGACTGTCTTGAGGGTAGGAACTGGGGGATGTGTATCTTGTATCCTTTGTTCCCGCCTCCGGACCTGGTGCTTAGCTATACAGTCCATAAACCGATTTGCCTGCACCAATAGAGTCAGGATGGTTACATCTCATGAATGACAGGACCTTTCCTGACCATGTCACTGGGCAGTGGGCTGGGTGCTGGTCCTTCTGAAGAAGGAAATGTTACGGAGTGAGTGCTCGGCAGGTCTTGCAGCAGCTGTCAGTCTGACCGTGCGGTCTGTAAGCAAAAGCCCTGGAAGGCGGTTTTCATAAGGGGAGCAGCAACAGCTCCCACGCGTGCTTTCCCGGGTTCGACTGTGGTTTGCTAAGGGGACGGAGGCGTTCCCTAGACATCGTCGTAAGGAACAAAACGAGCTTTTAAATGGTTCTTTCTGTAGAATTTATCAGATAATAATTTATCAGGCAATGGTGATAACATCTTGGTTTTAAACATCAACTATAGCAGATTACTGGTTTGAAATGAAGAGGCGTTCAGGCGTTCTGAAGACACTGGACAGACATTAGTGTATCTTGAAAGGCAGGGAAAAGAAATGCAATAGCTCAAATTCTTCTACTTTTTTTTTTTTTTTTGAGACTCACAATAAGTCTGCCAGTTATATAACCTAGTTATTAATCAGGCTTTAGGTGACCTACCAAAGGTCTCGTCTGTACTATCTGTGCTTCTTTCTATCATGCTGTCTTACTATAATTAAACGGTATGCAGATGATCAAGAACTTGGCAAAGGAAGTGAACACTCCAAAATTCTAAACACAGTTATTTCTATAAGAAAGCCAACTGTTCTGTTAAAAATCTGGGCGGACTGACCTAGATCCCCATACCGAAGGTTTCCGAGACGCGTGCAGCCATGTAAATCCCTGAGATGTGGGTTATTTAAGCAGATGGTCACGGACACAGTGAGCTCCACGTGTAGGTTGGCAGGGACCGGGACCAGAAAGGAAGCAGGCTGGGGAGGAAGCAGCCTCGCTGTGGGCCTCGCGGAATGTTAATGAAAACACGGAATGAAATTCAGAGTGCATGGATACACGTCTTTAGAATATTAATCGAATGCTCGCATTGGTCGAGTCGTTGCTATGACACCGGTGAGGAAGGCTGGGGGTCTTGGATTCTTTGTGAGATTTTGTGGAGATTTTGGGTGTGGGTTGGCCTGAGTCCACTTACACTCAGATGCGGTCTGGAAGGAGAAAGCCAGGCAGGGCCGAGGTTTCTGCTGTGTCGTTGATGTTGGCAAATTTAGGTGTGGGGAAATCAACATTCCAAAGCCAAGGCACTAGTTCGATAGGTATCAAGAGGCAGTCAAAGCAGAGGCATTGGTGGCTTCCAGATCCGTCCATCTAGGAATCCAAAAATCTCTGATGTTGACAAGCTGGGCAGCTGTGTGGTCTTGTTCTGGGCCCTTCCTTGGGGACTTAGCCTAAAGACTGCTTCTCCAGTCCTGCCAATGCTTTTTTGCAAACTGCAGTTCCCGCTATCATTTTGTACAATAACTAGAATAATTTTTCTTTCTTGCAACCCAGCTTTAGCTGCTAAGATACATAGACTAAAATAAGGCTGTTCCTTCTGCACCTCCCTGCCCCACTCTGTGTTAAATCTCATATGATCCTGGCTTTTGTGCTGAATGAAATCACATACATTGGGGCCGGCAGGTGGCATGGTGGTTAAGGGTGCTGGACTCCCACATGGCCAACTGTGATTCAAGATCTGGAGCTGGTGGCTTGCTTTTTTGCTTTCCCCCTTTCCATCTCTCTCTTTCCTCTGTCCCTCTCTGGTCAAATTAAAAGAAAAAGAAAGAAAGAGAGAAAGAGAGAAAGAAAGAAAGAAAGAAAGAAAGAAAGAAAGAAAGAAAGAAAGAAAGAAAG